AAGTAAGTTGCCCTCGGAGTCAACGACCAATCCGCGGGGGCCTGTCAGAGATCCAGCAAGCTTAACGGCCTTCCAGCCACTCGCAGTTTGGTATCCGAACCTGAAGGCACTGGCGCCAGAGCACGAGTTGGGGACTGGAGGCACAGGGGCGCCGTATACGATGGAGGACGATGTAGAAGTGGAACGCGGAGATGAGACAGTGGCCGTTGAGCTGCTGAGTGAAACACCTGTCCAAGTAACATTAGTCTTGGGAGTCGTGGTACTATGCAAAGTGGATGTCGACAAGGTGGTCGGCAGCGTCGTTTTGGTAACGGCGCTGGTCGGACCTTCGCCTTCAGCATTGCCCGCTGCCCAAGATTCAAAATTGACTGCCTGAGCCGGCCGGAAGTTGTGCATCCAGTGTCCTGCGCGCTCATGGATGCCGAAAGTTGTGTCGTTGGTAGCCGGGTCATCAACTGGCACGCCAGAGTAAGCAAACGCCAAGTAGTTTTCTCCGTTGGGGTCCACAGATATTGGGTCGTTTCCGTATGGTGCCCAGTATGTACAGCCTCGGCATAGAGCCGTGACGGAGTAATGTGTATCATTGACGACAGTGCCTGGGAGAACGGTGTACTCTGCATCTTCGTAAGGTGGAGGAGTGAAGTAGCCACTAGTAATTGTCAGTGATCCTGCGGTTTCCGTGGACCGAACTGTATCCTCACAATGCCATTCGAGAAGAGACAACCACGTCTTTGCCATTGGCCCATACGATTGTCAAGGGATTGTACGTCATAGAGCCGCCCCAGGCTAAAGCAGCCCAGCCTACCTCGATGGGGGAAGTGATCTGAACAATGGCTTCATATGGTTGACCCGTCGCAGGCCCTTCAGGTATAGCGATGCCGTAAGTTATGCCGCCTGCGTTGGTATAGGAAGCGAAGCAACGACCTAGACTGTCGCAGTATGTTGACTGGTCTTGGGCGATGGCTACTGTCCTATGTATTAGTACAATTCCCCCAAATACGGGTGGTAATAGAACCTACCGAAGCTAATGAGCGCCACAGCACTGAGGGTATAGGTAAGCCAAAGCATGATCTCTGCCGGCCAGTTCGCTCTCTTGTCTTCAAATGAGGCCTTGGTAGTACGGGGAAGTTCTGATGAGGATGATGACGACTCTATGGGAGCTGTTTTGAAGTCTTTAAGTGAAGTCCTGACACCAGCATTGCCATAGTCAACGGTGGTTCGGAGCAATCACCCATTCATCCATGTAGACTTCCGTAGCGACGAAAGAGGAAGTCATATCGTATGGATACAGTAGACAGATATGAGACCAAACACTCCGGGTGCAACACTGTCACACAATATGATACGAGAAGGGAGGGGAAGATGGTTGCCAATATGAAGATCCGAAAGCCATTCATTTGCCAAGGCGGATGAATGCTCTCGAGACACCGGTTACGCTTTTTTACCGTAGAAGAGAAGACGTGATGAAAACAAAGGCAGTCGTCTAGCACCGTTTGAAGATTGGAACCCAAACGCCATGGATAGCGAAGATCTGATCATAACGGGCAATCATTTGGGAGACGGAAGACACACTGAGGGGTGGAAAATCGCCTACAGGCCTTACATCAGAAGGGGCAGGAGGTAGGTATCGCCGCTTGAAAGAGTATCAAGTGACAAGTGAGAGACTCCGGCATAGCTTTAAGCAGACACTTGTCTCGGAGGTCGAATTTGGCAGGCCACAGAGTGAACGGGGAGGGAGGTTAGATTCTCCATAGGGGCAGCTGACCGGCTGACCAAAGTGTCGAACGAGGGATGGTCGACAGCCAATACGAGTCAGACTCGTAGGGTAACGTTGATGCTGTTATGATTGGAACGAGATAATAAGTTGATGCAGGAAAAATTAGAGCCTGAAGGGAGCGAGGCTGTGAAGGACCACTCGGGTGGTTGATAGGGAGAAATGATGAGTGTGGTATGTAGAGCTCACTTGGCAGGATCTTCAGGCTAATTGCCGTCCAATGCTAACAGGTCGGTTTGTAATTGATACCATGCATTACCTGATATAGTATCAGCCAAAGTCTATAAGAATAAGACCGTGGGCAACTCCAAGATACCACGATATGCTTTACCCGAAGACGGATGTACTCGTCACTAGACGACGAGATTCGGGCAGAATTTGGAGATGAATCCGCGTCGCCAGAGACACTTCACCGCGCCAGGGTTTGAACGAAGTGGGTCGTTTGAGAATACTTTTGCTGTTAATGTAAGGAATCTACGTAGAGAAGTTTCTGCTTCTGAAAGATACTATAAATGGGTGGTGAACAAGAGCTCTACGGATCATGTGTTGTGTGATTCATCGTGATTCCCTTAAGGTAGGTGTACCTTACAGACGAAGCTCGAGGTGAGCTTGCCGGTGATCGATAAGATAAGAGATAAGATAAGATAGTGATAACAGAATCACGACCTACCTTAGGTACCTACCTGGACGCTGCCCGTCTCGGAAGAACAGGCGACCCCTCTTGGCCTGCAGCCATGAGAAGAGAAGGAGCAGGTGCTGGTGGCCTGTTGAGAATCAAGATCGAATTTACCCATCTTTTGTTTCCTGCAAAACCCAGCAGTGCTTGTCTTCCTCCATGATTCTCTCTACAAATTCAACCGTTGTAATATTTCGGTCGTCACACCCATCTTGTTCCAGATGCAGCAACTCTTCCCATTTGCCTTGGGTTCAGGTACCTACCTACCTACCTCGGCCCTCACCGCAAACATGGTAGTCCCAGAAGCCTCGACACCCCAGCTTCCCCTCCAGAACCCCGCGTCACGCTGAGCCCCCCGCAATGGCGCTGAGGTCTTCACGAAACTCGTGGCATCTTCATTCAGCTCAAGAAAGGTGTACCAAATTGAATCCATCGTTACTGGGGTAGATCTCAACACTTAGTATGCTATTTCCCAAAGTCTCTCTCTAGCTATGCTCATGGCCACGAAATCAAGCTATCCACCCACCGATTCACCACACCATGAACCTCAGCATTTTAGAGTTGCCCTCCGCGTCAGTCGAATCGGTCCTATCCGGAGCGACCAGAACAAGACCAGTCCGATTCCAGAAATTCCCCAAAGAGAAGGGAAAAAAAGACTCTCCCCCACCTTTCCGGCGGGGCAAATCGCATTCGGGGACTCAGGCACGCGGGGGGGGGGGGGGGACCCTGACTATCAATCATTGACGTGCTCGACTCGATATCTTTTGAGCCGCCGGCCCTGAAGCTGGGCCTTGTGCACCGTTCGTCACAGCCAGCAACGATAGCTTTTGCAGCAGGTATCTACTAGCGAGTGGTGAATCGAAGCTATAGCCCGCCGATTCTCCTTCCTCATTCGAAGCTAAAGGTCGAATTCTATCTTTAGAGCGCGCAAAATAACACATCCGAAATGGCGGCCCCGCGCACAACCCGGCCACTGTCCGCCGTCCTCCCGCCTCTGATCCTCGGCACCGCGACCTTCAACTACCAATACGTCTCGAACCCCTCGCGCATGCCCTCCGTCGACATCGTCTCCCGCTCCCTATCCCTCGGCGTTAACGCCTTCGATACCTCTCCTTACTACGGTCCCTCCGAGACCATCCTTGGCGCCGCCCTACGCACCCTCTCCCCGCCCCGCGACTCCTACTTCCTCGTCACAAAGGCCGGCCGCATCGCCCCGACCGAGTTCGACTACTCCCCGGCCTGGATCCGCGCTTCCGTCCTTCGTAGCCTCGAGCGTCTTAACACCACCTACCTAGACCTGGTCTACACCCACGACGCAGAATTCGTCACCCCCGACCAGGTCGTCGCCGCCGTCCGCGAGCTGCGCCGTCTCCGCGATGAGGGCCTAGTCCGTTACGTCGGTATCTGCGGCTACCCCGTTCCCATCCTTTGCGAGCTCGCCGAAAAGATCCTTCGAGAAACGGGCGAACCCGTCGACGCCGTCCAATCCTTTTCGCACTTTTGCATCCAGAACGATACCCTCGGCAGCGACGCGATCCTCACACGACTTAAAGATGCCGGCGTCGGTGTCGTGACCAACGCGAGCATGCTGAGCATGGGCCTGCTCACCACCCGCGGCGTTGACGACGGGCCCATGGCGAGCTGGCATCCGGCTCCGAGCCCCTTGCGCAAGCTATGCAAGAGCCTGGTTGGAATCGCTGAGGGTGCGGGTGAAAAGATGGAAGAGCTCGCTCTATACTGGGCCATGGCGAACTGGGCGCGCGTAGGAAGCGCCTTTGGCAGCGAGCTGTTGCCGCCCACCTACAACGGCCCTGCCAAGGTCGGTGTCAGCGTCATGGGCGTAACGTCCGTGTCGGAACTGGAAGAGACGTTCCTTGCCTGGCAGGGCATGATGCGCGAGCTTGCGGCCGAGAATGAAGAGTCAAATCCCGTCGGCGCCCAAGCCGGCCGACTTGACAAGATTCAGCGTTTGGTCACGGAGCAAATGTGGCCGGCCTTGGGCGAATGGCGGAATTACAGCTGGGCCAGTCCTGGCGAAGATTTCGTCAACCAACCTTCCGTCGCCGCCATTGATGCTGCCCTTCCTACTGTCGCTGCCGCTGCCGCTGCCGCCACCGCCGAGCCACACTTGTAAGCCTGGTAGGAACCCATTTCTTTATACAAGCAAGCTGGGCACGCGAGGTCATACTTTCAAAACGTCAAACAACAATCGGGGCCGGAATGTTTCCATGAGTTGATGGTATTTGTCAAGCAGCTCGAGACTGTCAACATCTCAGCCGCTTTTCTCACATACCTATAATAGGTAGGTTGGGTAGAGTACAGTGAGCGCTAGCCATTCACATGGCAAAAAAGCAAATAGATGAAATAAAAAAGAATCACGTCTAATGGCCTCCTTCCCCAAAGTCCACCCTGAACGCCTTGAGTTTCTTGGAGTCCACAACCCCCAGAGTGTATGCAAAACTCTTCCTCCCGTGTAGCCGTTGCCATCAAATTTGGCATCATCATATTTTGCAATCATCCCGTCGTCATCTCTGTCTATCCGCACTCCGATTACTGCGTTACTCCAGTCGAACTCTGCACAATGTTTTCATGGCCCAGTCTCTTCGACTCAGCAGCCTCATCCGAAATGGGAGCCGGAGTCTCGGGTGTTATTGTGACTTCCGGTGTCAATGCTCCACTGCCAAGTAAAGGAGACACGTCGCCTTTGCTGGCGCCATCGACAGGCTCTTCGGGAATTGTTGGCGGTGGCTTCAATGTGCCAGCATTTGTCTGGACAGGCTCCTCACTGTGTACATCTTCCATGTGCTCCGCCTCTGGTTCGTCTTCCGCTTCTGCCTTCTTGCTCGTGCTGGCAGTCCGGCCCTCGCCTGAGGCGATATCCTGGTCCTGGTTGGCCTCGCCATTTTCAATGTCAACGCCTACCATCTCTGCCAGGCTCCGGAAGTTGAACATTGGCTCCGTGTTGTCTCGGTCACCTTCCTCGCTTCTATTGCCAACGCTTAGCTCGCTAGCCCGAGGATCCAAGTACGCCTGGTTGCTGTAGCTACCAGCTGCGCTATCAGCCAGAGACGATGAGATGGAAGATGCATTGCTCATCTGCCTCAAGTGAGAAGGCCCGCGGCTAGTCGTTGGGATCGGTAGTGAGGGCGTAGTAGAGGTGCTTTGGAAGCTGCTCTCGGATGACTGCGTCTCAACGGCCGGACGTTCTACAGCTTTGCCTTTCGAACTTGGTGCCGAGCCGGGTGCCGAGGTGGGAGAAAGGGTATTGCCAATCGGTGTTGAGGAAGCCACTGGAGAAGTTTCGGCGCTGGGCCCTGCGGACGTCGTCTGCGCTCCCTGAAGCGTAGCCTCCACACGCAAGTTGCTCGTTGTGCTGTTCCCTCTGCGTCGTCCAAGGCCAAGAGAGAGGCTGCTACCACTAGCAGAGCTTTGACCAGGCCCATAGACACTCTGCCGGTCCTGCTTCTTGAGGGCTTTTCGCTCTTCCTTGTCCCTCTTTTTGGCCTCCTTTCGCTCCGTCTTTTCTTGTTTACGTTTTCGCTCTTCCTCGGCGGCGAGAGAAAGACGGACAGCCTCCATAAACATCATATCTTCGAGCTCCTCCATCCGACTTCTCCTATTGTTCAGGGCTCCACGCCCAGAGGAGCTCCGCGGCCCAGGCTCAGGTCCAGCTGGGGGCGCTTCACCCTCAGGGTTGCGATGGGGGCCCTCTTCCGGCTGCTGGTTGGAAGGTCCAGAGGGGGTGCGACTCCCAGTGTTCCTCCGACTGAAACGCCCGGGTCGTGTGAAAGCGAAGCCGCGCTGCTGTTCGTTATTTCCCATGAGGAAAGCCGCAGTGTGCAAAGCAGTTGCTGCTGCAGCTCTGCGTGCTTGGTGGGCTCGTTGCGCTGCGAGTTTGGTTGACCAATCCGGTCGAACTCGATCAGTTGTGACAACATTCGGGGCGTTGGCGGACAAGCTTTGAGCACGCCGCCTGCCAGAGGTTGGAGAGGTAGGCGACAAAGTGGAGTTCAGAGAGCTCTGAGATGACATGGCGGTATTTTGTGACGGGTATCCAATGGCATAAGATAGACCTCGTCGGAAAGGGGGAGCGTCATAGGTTACACCGAATTCGGTCTGCTGGCAGTAGGGGCACTGCGCGGGCTCTGATATCAGCATTTCTGGAGCTTCTTCCGGGTTGGTCGGATTCGCAGGCTGCTCGGTCGGTTCGCCGTGATGCTCGGGATGGTGCGGATCGGCGCGCTTGATCTGCACGAAACATTCGCTACAGATGGGCTGATCGCAGCAACGGGTGCGATTCAGGTAGGGAGGATAGGTTAGGAAACAGATAGGACACTCGGTAGCATCCTTGTACAGGAAAACCTCTAATGGCTGTCCGTTGACCAAGGGGTCGTTGGGCAACTTGATCTCACGGGGCGCGACGTCGTTTGACGAGTTGCTGCGTGACCCGCCGCTCAAGGCTGCTGCAAGGGCTTTTGCCCGAGGCTTGAAAGGCGAGCTACTCCGCTGTTGGGCTGCGTTGGGCGACGATATCCCGGAGCCGGGCATTGAACTACTACGATCCGATCCTACCGACAAAGATCTCGGGCCCATTGGAACGGTGAGGTTGGCAAGGTTCTGGGATGATTCAGTGGGAGAGGCGGGCGTGTTGGACTGGGGAATGAACTCGGGCGGAGGCTGTTCGTCGGCAGCCGGGATAGGCAGGCCACGACCGGCGCAGATGAGCTGATATTCGGTCCAGCTGTCGGAGTAGTCATTGAGACCTCTCCAGAATGGTGCAAGTCGTCTCTCAATCTGCGGGGCCGCAACTGTTAACCTTTGCAACCAAAGCATGGGAATATTCGGAAAGCATCTTACCTGTAATTGCCGCACGACGGGCTTGCTAAAATCTTCGGGACCAGTGTATGTACCCAGAGTGACAAGGTATCCGCCATCGATATGCTCCTCCTTCAGACTCCGCTCACGTTCCTTTTCTCTCGCGATGCGGTCCCTTTCAAGTCGCCGGGCTTCCCGTTCCTGCCTCGTCTCCCTCCGTTCGTATGGCGCATCTTCTCTGCCTGCAGCACTTGAAGATCCGGCGGCTCCCAGGCCAAGGAGATTTAAGTCGGCTCTGCTAAAGCGACTTTGCCTCCGTGAGCTGGCATGATCGTTTGCGGCTTCTCTGGAGGTGGAGTGGTTGAGGTAGGCAGCCTGGCTTTGCCTGTAGTCGGTCCCCGGGTCAATCGGACGAGATTCTTTGGTGCTACTATTGCCCATACTGGCTATCGATGATGTGGCCGGGCGGTATTGCTAGAGGGTTCGTCGAGTGTGGGCTCTCTCGGAGTGGACAGAGCGACGGCAGGTGGTTGATGGCCCGATTCAATCAGAACAAGGATTGCAAGTAGGACTGCAGTGGACCAGAGTCGATCACGGCAGTAAGTTAAGCAGTGAGAGGTAGTCCAGCCAATATTAGTCCGGCAGAGAGTGTTGATGTCGTAGTCGACGTATGGTCGCAGTGTTGTGGGTGCCAGGTGAAGTACCGCCGCAATATGGTTGGGGATGAACCGAATGTAATCAACAACGCATCCTTCAGACGAAGTGGCAGAGAGCTGCAAGCATTGTTGGGAATGGTGAGGGGAGGCAGGTGATGTTATTGATCGTCGGAGGCGGATAAGAGGTAGTAGGATGTACCTTTGCGAATGGGCGCGATGAGTTGATGGCGGGTGGTGATATCGGGGATGGTGATGATGGACGGATGGTGTTGGCAGTGCAGGGTGACGGTCCAGGGGTCGCAGTCAGCGGATGTTATGTCTGGGTGGTTAGGTGGTGGTTGTGGTGCTGGGTTTGGGGATCTGGGACCGGACGGGCGTGTCGGGTCGGGGAAGCTTGTGACGACGTGGATGTCGTACGTGCGTGGCTGGGCACTGAGCACTGAATGCTAGGCAGGCCAAGATGTGAAGGTTTCCAGGCGTTTAGAGAGACGGGCTTCGCAAGAGGACGCAAAGTGGCTCTACCTTGAGTCAGGCAGGATAAAAGGGATGAGTGAAAGTGTTGCCAAGATGGCAGATGGGGAGATGCAAAAGCAAAAGAGATGAGAAGTGTGAAGTGGTCGTTGGAGGGACGAGCAACAAACGCTTAAGGGAAGGTGAGAAAGTTGTCGGGCGCGGAGGGCCGGGGGGCGCGGTTACGGTTGTCGGGTGCGGTGGAGAGCAAGGTTCCCAATAATCCAGGTAAGGTAGGTACCTAATGGAAGGTCAGGTATTCGTATGGAGGAAAGGTACCTTACTTCAGCAAGGTGGTGTAGCTAAGGTACGTAAGGTAGGTAAGGTAGCCGGCCTGCTGCTACCTTGTAGGTTGGTAGCAACGAAAGGTGATGAAAGTCAAGTGACCTACCTCTATGTAGTAGGACTGCTAATGATAATATTTGATCAATACAAAAGCAAGAGGTTCCACCCTGAATGGCAAACGAAGAAGAAGGAGAAAGGCCGATTGATGGTGCTCATTCTATCCGTACCAGTATACTGGTACCTACATACTTGGATGGTATTGGCTGACTTGCCTTACCTTGGGAACCTTAGGTATGTACCTACCTTAGGCATGTAGGTAAGCGTAGTAAGGTGGTAAGGTAGTTTGTAGCTGTCACCGGTGTCGCCAAGGGAGATGTGACGTCTGACGTTGTATCCGTACTCAAGCTGTCAAAACGGAAAGAAAAAAAAAAGAGGGAGAACTGGAGAAAGTGAAAAAGGACAGCAAAATTGTGCAGGTGAGGTAAGGTGCGTGCAAGAGGTCGAGAATCAAGGCAGACAGGGTCCAAGAAAGGGAAATCGGGTCCCAGTGGAGAGGCCTTGGTCCTTGAGCCTTGAAGCCGGTAAGGTACAGTAGGCGGGTGTGCGGCGCGAGGTTACCTTGGGTTGTTTCCAATGGGTAGAAGCGTCGGGCGGTTAAGTTACAGGAAGTAGGAAGGGTACCTCAATCGGCTGGTTACTTGTGCACTGAGCATTGTACCTTTCCCAAAGGCATTTAATGTGGTAGCTATCCGTTGGGTAAGGTACCTTACCTCATCTCACCTTTGGGGGCGGTTTGCTGAAGTTGGTGGGTGAGTGAGGTGGATGAAGTCTGGACCGAAATCGCTGGCTGCACCGGCCCGGCTTGCTTCTTGGCCTCAGATCTACACTCTTGGGACTTGGAAGGCACTCCTAACCTGTAAGGTAGGAGATGATATAAAAGTGGACTCTTCTTACCTTCCCTCAGTACCTTGCCTCATGTAGTAGAGGTAATTAGAGTGCGGTCCATTAAGGGAAGGAGAATCCTGTGGTTTCTTTCCACCAAGGTAGAGTCATAACAGCTCATGGGAGGCGCTCGCCGAGTCTCGACAACCTCTTTCCTTTGTACCTTAACTAGTGGAAGTCACCACGGTCCACGACACCTTCCTATGCTTTCTTGACGCCAATAGACGAGAGGAAGGACCTAGCTGGGGACTTCGGAGCATGGAGGGGCAAGAGGCTGGCGTGGAAGGTGGAGACCATCTGCAGCCTAGGTACACGGCAAGGTACCTTAGGTGCGTGCCTGCCAACCCAAGCACCCAAAGTACCTAAGCTAAGGTGGTCAGGAATACTCCGTACACCATCGGCAAGACCCCTCCTTTCCCCGACTTCCAAAATGCACTTGAGTCTTGAGCCCTGAGGCCTGCTACCGTCTTACTAAATTGGGGAGTAACACCATTACTTCTTATATTCACTTCAATCTTCCACTCATCCTCATGCCTCTCTCATCGACATAACATGACCTCAAGGTAAGAAAAAGCTTGTCCAGGCCCGTTGGCTTGGAGCCTTGGACGGTATTCACCACCACTTGGAGCCCCTCCTGACCCGCATTGGCTAAGCACGCCTGTCCATCATGAGGGGTCGTCGGTTTGATGAGAGATTGATGGGGTGAGAGCCGAAAACCCTGCTTCCGGTCTTTCCGCAGTCAGCCACTGCCATTTGCTCGGTGTCATTCGATTATGTCGATAATTACTGTCTCTCACTCCCTTTTCACGTCCATAATACATACCATCAACGGTTGTGGTCATAAACCAACTTCTTTGCCCCCTATCTAGCCTCCAGCCCGGCACTTGAACAACTCATCGCTGCTATGTCTCATGTCTCATCCAATCCACCATGACCCCCGCGGCACCCCTTGCCGTCTAATGCTTCCCGGTCCCGACCCAACGCGGCAAGTGCCTCTAGAAGCTCCCAACGGACATCTCCCACCTATATCCATGAATCTTGCGCCTAGAGCTTCATGCGCACGACATCTCGCAACACCCCGTCCTGCAAAGCTATGATGCCTCACGGGCTTGAGCGTCTGTTGCACCCAATGTATTCGTACCGCTCTCCACTATTGCCTTAGTGTAAGACTCCAAGGTAGTACCAAAGATCGAGTCCGCCTTCGCATCTACCCTATGCCTATGATGCTCCACGTGTCAATCGCTACCGCCAAGCAATGCGCCTCAACAACGGATCCTCTCCAGACAATCGTCTTTCATCATTGATGCTCGCGAGCCTTCGGCCATGTCAGCTACCTACAGGAGAAGTGCTAGGTTGATTGGATTACACGGCACGTCTCAGCCCGAGTTTGTTTCCCTGCATGCACTCTAGATACGACTAACAAAGGGACCCAAGGCAGTTTGCATGTGCTTCCTGGGCTAGACATTGCAAAGCATGAGGTTCAAGTTGCAACATGTGCACACGATATCCGAACACTTTGCTCTTTATAGTGCGAAGGCTTACCCGTGGCGGTGTCCAACAAATTGACTCAACGAAAGAGTCCAAGACAGGCAAGCGCTGGGAAAACGGCTTCGTTCCTTGGGGTGCCTCATGAGCTTCCGCCATGGAGGCGCCCTCTACACTCTCCAAAAGCCCCGACCGCCTGCCGCCTTATCTCTGTAACCAATGCCATGACACTGTCGCGTGATTCTCTGAGACACCCATCCCACCATGTTGGCGGCGGTGAGTACGGAGTACCTACATCAAAACGCCAACTGCACCCCACGTCGCACAATGGCTGGCGCTGCAACCGCCAACTTCGTCTCATTGATGCCAGTTTCGCACTTGCCATAGTCTACTTACCGCAATTGTGTCCTAGTCATGTAATCTCGAGATATTGGGTGGCCGGGACTCACCTGGCGCGGGATAGGCTTTCGAAAGTATGCATCTAAGATAGCGTACGCGAAACGATAGAAATTTGAATCCAAAATGGAAGTCAAATGTAGAGGTATTCAAAGCCTCGAATACGTTGAGGTGAGATTCAACATGGCGCAGAAGATAGCCGTTATTTCTGGCACGTCAACTCATAACTTCAGGTGAGCACAACTAAATGTACGCATGTCGCGAGTACCAGTAATGCATGTGAAGGACAGTGCAATATGGGGCCCAGGATACATCTCAAAAGCGCTCATCGAAGGAGACGCTTTTCGCAGCTCAAGCTGGTTTGTGATATTGGATAATTAGTTCAGGTCGGAAAGAGTTTACGACACTTTCAACGGTTGCAAGCTCTTGGCACAACGGGAGTCGCATCCTATCCATGTCACTGGTCTGGCTCTGTTACGTCAGCAGTATCGGCGTTGGGCAGGCCGACCACCGACTGAGAAAGTCCAATAGTGGAGGCGGACGGGTAGAAGTCCAAGCTCGGGTGCCTGGAATTGCCAGCGCAAGGTTCACGATTTCGTCAATATTTTCCAGTGCGACGCGCTCGCTCCATTGCAAGTCATCTCCATGGCTGGTGGCCGCAATACGAAGTCTTCGGGCCCAGTGCCTCCGTCGCGAACACTAGTTCTCGACAATGGTGCGTCGACCATCAAAGCAGGTTTCGTTTCCGACGACCACACCGACGAGCCCCGAGTAATACCAAACTGCATCGCCAGAGACAGGGCGAGGAAGGTCTACGTCGCATCCGACCTCGAAAAATGCCGTGATTTTGGCGAAATACAGTTCCGTCGACCGGTCGAGAAAGGTTACATTGTCAACTGGGAAGCTCAAAAGGAGATTTGGGATCACGAGTTCTTCGACGACAAGGCGCCGCAAAAGTGCGACCCCTCCGAGACCAGACTGCTCCTCGCGGAACAACCAAACTCGTTACCTACCCTACAGGTCAACTGTGACCAGATAATATTTGAGGAATATCAGTTTACCAGCTACTATCGTGGCATTGGTATGTGGCTTAATCCCCTTGCAGGTCTCATCGACTTAGCTGACCTTTGTCTTCCCAGGGGCCTCCTTCAATGCGTACCACGATAT